ATTAATAAAGAAAAGAAATATTAGTAATATATACCTTTTTATGCATTTCTAGATATAACAAATAAAAAAAAAATATAAAAATATGTATTTCTGGATCTGTCTCTTATACACATCTAGATGTGTATAAGAGACAGACATCGGATTGATCGGATGTTACACGGATGACCGGATTGACCGGATTGATCAGATAATCTGGTCAAATTCATAACTTTTTTTTTTTTTTTTTTTAACATAAATATTTTTTTTTAAAAAAAAACACCTTTTTTTCTTTAGGACGGACTTGGACTTGGACTTCGGAATGACTTGGACGGCTTGAATTTTGAAAAGTAAGTGTAAATTTCTTTTTCTTTTGTCTTGGGAATGTCACTAAACGTTCCTTTACTTCATTTCTTTAAGGGACGCCTGCCTGGAACTCAATTTCGGCTTGGGCTATAAAGGTAAGTTGGGGGAGAGTAATTTTGATTTTTTGTTTGTCTTTGGGAACGTCATTAACGTTCCTTTTGCTTTTTTTCTTTAGGAGACGCCCTCCCGGATTTGGATTTCATAAAGGTAAATTGCTGTCTCTTATACACATCTAGATGTGTATAAGAGACAGACTTCATATTCTTCCACCGAAGATCCACTAAATTCTCCAATCGATTCATAACACATTGTTATTGCATAAAATAAATTCATAACAACCAAATGCTGATCCGAAAATAGAGTCATTACATATGGGCGGGATATGGCATATTCTTCATACTTTGCTCGACTTAAAATATTTTCTTCGACATTTTTATATTTTTAAAAGAAAATATAAAACTATCTTTAGTAGAGCCATAACTACCATCAGATTTCCATATGATCGGATTATATCCTCCAAAAATTTCATCACTATTTTTCACTTGATAATCACAATCTCATGGAATTTACGAGGTGAAAATAGGACCCAGAAATATATATAAAAGGGTCAGGTTTGAGTTTGCGTATTTTGAACTAAAAAAATCATGAAAATCTTTCCTTTTTTAGATAATTTTTGATAATGCCGGTCAGAATTTATTTCCTATTATAGTAACCGACTGACATTATCATAATTCCGGCCCTGAAAAAATGCGTACAGCAAAAAATTTTTTCATCACCTGACCCCTATATATATATTTCTGGGTCCTGTGAAAATC